ATAAATTTAAAATATTTTCCTAATCCATACAGAAAAAAGTTACATAAACATTTTAGTATTATGGTAATTTGAGTATTTTTATATCATGATTCTATTTTATAAGGAAATTGTTTGAATTGATAAACTGGTTCTTTAATTTCATTTTTTTCCACAACTTTTTTTCTTTTAGAGAGATTTTTGCTATAGGGCACATATGCTTGCTGGAGAGACAGAGAGAGACAGAGAGAGGGAAAGTGAGAAATCACCCCCGGGGGGATGGCCATGCTGCAGTCCCTTTTCCATTCTCCTCTCAGGATTTTGAGCACACACATGCATGCCCCCGGCGTGAATTTCAAGCTGTCATGTCTAGGACTTGTGGGAGTCCCATACCATAACTACTATGCTACCTGCTGGCTCCCTCCCACAACTTTTTGAAGTCCTCTTGTACAGTGTTAAGGGAGAGTTGTCTCAGTACAGGAGAGAGGTGGGCTTTTAGTGGAGGGGAAAGATCAAGTTAAAAGGGATGTGATACTACTGGGGGCGGGGGGAGGGGAGAGGTGAGGCCAGGAGACCCAGGAGCAGATGTGAGGGAAGGGGATCGAGGAGAAATGGCTTATCCTTGATGCCAGGAGGGAAGATTGGTTGCAGACCTTGTTCTCTGTGAAGCTGGAGTTGCCCGCATCTGCTCAGAGCCAGCAGGGTGAGCATTGGGTGGTGCTCGAGAAGAATGCTGACGAATAGCACAGCCACTCAGGGAACGGGGACGGAGGCTGAACAGGGCCGAGGGGGAAATCAGCATTGCTTTGACACAGCGAGGCATGGCCAGGGACCTCAAGGTCCTAGGGCACAGTCTGGGTCCTGCCGTAGGCACGACATCTCAGCAAAGCAGAGCCAGCCATTCGTGGAGATGGTGGGCCAGAGGAGGCTGAGTTTGAATTCCAAGGCCTTCACTGCCTTGCTGTGGGACCTCAATAAAGTTCCTTAATACTGCCGAGAGTCAGCTTCTGCTTTTGCAAAACGGAGAAAGTCATACCTTCCCTGACTGAGGACTCAGTGAGGAATGCATGGCTTGTGCTTGGGCCAAGGCCTCCTTTCCCTAAGCTGATTGGCTTCTCCAGAGAGGAGCATGCTTGCGTCTAAGTCTTTGTACCTTCTCCCCATTCTGGAGGGCCCGCTCCTTTGTCTCCAAATACCACTCCTCCTTCCTTTCAAAGCTCATGCCAAGCCTCTGCTTCATGGCGCTTTCCTGACTACCTGGCACGCTCAGTCCCTTCTCTGGACACCTGCTACACTGTAACACTTACCAGTCTTAAGCATTATCACTCATTCCTGTGTTGCTATTCAGCTTTTTGCCTGCTTAGCCACACTTGGTGCTTAGTTCATCTCAAGCTCCTTGAAGACAGAAACTGTTTATTTGTATCCAAGGAGTATAGTGCTCACAGCTACAGGAGTGATTAGAAAGGCCTAATTAGAGAAACACCTAAACAATTAGATTTACCTTTTGGGGGCAATTTATTTCTTCTGTGAGCAAAAGAAAGACAGAAAGAGACAGAAAGACACTAACCCCCACAGGAGTTGATACCATGATCTACCCCCAACCCTAACCTGTCCCAGACATGGGCACGCATGTGCCTGGCATACTCAGAGCAGGTTCTGGGTACAAATCCCGAACTTACCCATGTGGGTTGGCCTCACAGAGCTTTGTGTTTTACTGCTATGCCACATCTAGACCCATAAATACAACTTCTTGTTTTTGTTTTGTTTTGTTTGTTTTTGTTTTTGTTTGTTTGTTTTGGTTATAGGACCTGTGTGTTCAGTGGAGGGAGGGGAAG